CCAGAAGTTCCTGGCTGTAGTGGTGGCCTCCCTGAGAAAGCAGTACTACTAGACAGCCTCTTCTCCTGCAATAAGAGAATAAATAAATAAAACAGTATTTCTTTTTGAAAAAAAAAAGTGTGTCTTTGTATTTGTTTATTTCATTTGGCTATAAATATGTGCATCTATTATCTTTAATCCTTATTAGTTATAAAATATGATTTGATTTTAAACATTTAAAATACATTTAGAAGAGCTTGAAGGTGAAACAAAGTTTGTATGGGGAAATTTAACTTTTTAAAAAGCAATATTTAAAATATGAATTATGACTGAAATTAGTAATATTTATCTGTTCATGTGTCTTACATCTGTCCCTGCATCTTAAGTAATGATCTCTTTCTTGTCTCTGTGCTTAAAACCCTTAGTATGTGGCTGCAAAGAAAGACATCTTTTGTATTTTACTTTTCTATTTACATAACACCTATTAAATAGAGTTATATTCATTTATATATATGTAATTGAAAACTGTAAAAGAAAACTTTATTTAATACAGTTGAGCAGTAACCAGTAGGAAGTTTAAAGCATCTGCTCTTTTTTTCTTGCATTCAATTTTTTCTGCATTACTTTTATTTTTATACTTTAAGTAGTTTTAAGAATAGTACTTTTACACTTTTACCTTGGTAAAAAGCTTATGTTGAAACTCTTAACTCTACAAAAGAGTTTGTGAAGTAGAATTTCTACTCCTACTTGAGTAATACACATTAGTACTTTTTACACCTCTGTAAAAATAATAATATTCAATGAGGGTTTTTTATTTTTTGCTCTGTGAACTCATGCTTCAGCAGAGACATAGAAATGTATATCAAGGATGTTATCTCTCTAAATGGAGTGATAAGAAGCAAGATGGTAAGGCTAAACAGCATGTAGCAATTTTACCTTTTGCTATAAAATATAATATGGCCTGCTATTAAATTTCTCTGCTTTTCTTTGAAAGTTTTCTGAATTGCAAGGGACAGCATTTCCTCAAAATTTAATTTAATTCATTTAATGACAGGAAGAAGGTGCTAGACTGAACCTTGCACAATAATGTCAAAGGTCAAAACACTGTAGATTTGTTCTGTTTTTTTTTCACAAGTTGAAGGTAAAGAGAGTCCTAATACCTGATTTTTATAACAGAAAAATAGGATGGAAAATTAAAACAACAAAATAAAGTATAACTCCAAAAATAGATTTGATCTGATATTTTTTTTACTTGTCATGAGTTCCTCTTGTGACAAAGGAAACAGTCATAATTAAATGTTTGAATAAACCTCAAGTTAATCAATATGATAAAAAAAATACTATTATTTTTTAAAAAGGCTTTAATAGTCCTCCAATGGCATTGAAATCAGTAAAGATAACTTCATGGGTTTGAAAGTGTACAGTTATACACACGTAACGGGGTTTTATAAATGCTATACAAATCCCAAGTTTTTACCAGATGGTGTTGTAAATTGTTGATTATAAATATATTTACCAATACAGAAGCATTAAAAACATGACATTTTTCAACAAGTTAGCCCTTCTTACCCCACTGCGATGTTGTGACACACAATTATGGTAGGAATATTTGTTTTAAGATCATCTTTAAGAGGTTATTAAGAACTAAATGTTTTTGCAGGTAAACATGTTGTGTTTACAGTTTATAGGCATTTTCCCTTCATCTTTAGATTTTCAACCTCTGTAAACTGTTTTTAATTGCAGTAGCCGTTTTGTTTAGCTGATGATGGAGAAAGATTATAGTAAACAAAACAGAAACTGCAAACGTTTCTTTGA